GCCTCTGATAGTCGTTGCACCCATAAAATCGATCTAGTGGGTTTCTGAGATGGTTACAAAATGTTTAAACAATTGCGTTTTTACTTGGTTTTGGTCCGGAAAATACAAAATTCATGAGCCATGTGTAATTGTTATTCTTTCCATTCGCTTGTAAAAGTGGGCTTTTAATTATAGAAGATTGGGGAAAAGTGGGGGGGGGGACAATCGATACCATGTCCCCCCACTTTGAAAAGTAGGCAAAAGCAGCTTTCTTAGCTACGTTTTTTGTCCGCTGATCGGTTAAAAAACATATTTCATTTTTATTTTATCACTGAAAAACAACTACTGTAAAATGTTTAGCCCATAAATATGATGTGTGTGAAGAAAACATTAAACAATATTTTAATTTGGACCTTCAAAAAGCAGTTAAAAAGAAATGGCTATGGAATTTGAGGGGGCCTAAAGCCTGTTAAGCCCCCCTCTAAATCCGCCCCTGTACTTGAATTCATAACTTGATGTTCCCTTATTGAATTGCCTTATTTTAGAGTTTTTCTATTTTTTGTGTTTGTGGTGTGTTTGTGATGTTGTTTTATTGTTTTTCTCCCCTTTTGTTAAACTTCAATTTTGATTTGACTTACCGTATTCTGTATTGTTAAGAACTTTGATCCACGACGGAGATACGGCGATCGAGTACGAAGAATTAACTAGAGTTTCATTAGAATATGCCTTGAATAATTACAACGTGAATAGAAACACTGAGACTATCTGTCAACAGCAATGAGCATGTTCCACTTCTGCTTGGCCAACCAACCGATTTACCGGCAAACCATTCTCTATGATTCTGACGTATACAATCTCGCACTCTTTAACCGAAATATCGGTGTGTCTATCAATCAAGATGCTGATGTAATGTTGTTTGTCATTATCAGTTGAAAGTCGCTCCTTCATTGAATCGGCAATTACCCCGATTAATTGGGCGCACAACATTTCATGATTCGCGTGGGTTGATGTTATTTCTGCCCCATTTTTTGTGGTGAAGCGCTGCCAACGGACCAAACTTGGTAAAAGGCAGTTCCTCCTTGGCAATAAAATAGGCGATGTTAACTTTCTTTTTGAATTCCTAAAGCATAGCACACTGACTATTAAGAAAAGCGCGCTATAATTGTGATTTCTTGTTTTGTCGTCGTAAACCAGGTGTCCCGGCTAAGTTTGTGCGATTTTGATCGGGAATGAAGTGTTAAAAGGTTTCGCGTTTAAATCCTCTGGTAAAATGCCAATAGCCAGGCCACTTTTTGTTGATGGTTTTGCACCTTTGCAATAAGCGCACCACATCCATCCTATCAGTTGCCTTTGAGTACCGTAAAAAAAGAAAATTCCTTCAAACATTTATTTTGGAATTGATATGTTTTCTTGCTACTTTTACTCGCTTCATTATGTTTACTACTACTACCCTCTTTTTGTGCTACTTCTTCCTCTAAGTCAAATTCTTCTGCGTCCGATACTGCAAAAATTGACTCTTCTCCATGCTCCTCTCTTCTCGGTTCCATCCATTCCTGTTCAACATCAGAAGAAGACAAAATTGATGGTGGGGCATCTGCAACTTCTGAAACATCATCATCCGAGCCTTCTTGCTCCGATTCGCTAATTTGCGGAAGGTTAAAAGTATTTTTAGGCTTTAAGAAGTCAGATATTTTTTTGCTCATCTTGTTTGGTCATCCGAACTAGCGATAAGAATTTTGAAATTGCATGCACCGTGCTTCCAGGGTGGTGGTATGGCCAAATGTGAGCGCTGCGCACATTACATTCACATACATACTATTCAATTTAAAAAAATGTAATTATGTACGGTATTGTACGACTACACAATTTAATCCTTAATGCTGTTATTCTATTAAACTATAATAGGCCTATTTTAATTGATTAAAATGATACGTAATTTATTCCATTCGTATCATCTCATTTTAATAAATTATAACTACACCTTTAGCAAAATCGAATATGCCTATCTAAAAGATACTGTACCACTTTGATTAATTTGTGGTTACCATTCTCCGTCTCCATGTCGTCTTCCCAAGGGATTAATCACTTGCGACGCAACACCAAATTAATACAAACAAAATAAATAACACAATATAGCTACCATTTTGTTTTTTTAGCCTTCTTTAATGAAGAATAAATACATATTTTTAATGATCATCATTATCGAAGCATCACTAGGCCTACATACAATTATTCCAATATAGCTTGAATACATAAATCGCATTTACAATGTTTTCACATTGACAAATACGTGTTTTCATCTTTATTTTAACCAAATCATTGTACGAATGAGAGTAAGTTTGATATAAATAACTCAAGTATAATCCTCCAGATAATTGCTTTCCCTCACTTCCCCCACCCACCCCAGATTTCAGACGCTGGCGACGCCACTGTACAAAACAGAATAAACAAGTTGCATAAAATAAATAATCACCTTCTTTTATGTGTATTTTGAAATACTTGTTATGTTCACGATAAAATGAAGCAGACTAGATGTTGATATACTGGTATTAGACTGAATTAAGGCTCTAATGTTACGTGATTATAAATTAAATAATTGCATACCATATGTAAAGCAGTTGTTTTTTTAAAAATAAATCGAACACTAGGTTCCTCGCGATATATGCACAGAGCAGCTGATCATTGAGGCTGACACAGACTTGAAAATAGCGCATGCGCAAAATATGTTCTATAAGAATGATTATGAATAATTCATGAGGTTTTACCAAACCTACCTACAAAATAAGAACATTTTGAGCCTGAAATCGGCCAAAAAATAAGATGATTGAGTCTGGCCAAAATTTTACTGGTTCTTACCAAAGATCTAAAATAACAAGATAGCGTTTCTCCGCAAATTCTGCGTGCAAATTCTGTAATAAATAATGCAGTGTAGGACGCCCTCTTGCAATTACAATTACTTTTCAACTTTGACATCTATGATCTCAGCGCAAATTCTGGAACAACCGCCATAGTAACAACTAGCTAGGACGCTCTCATTCAATTACAATTACTTTCTATAAAGATCTTATAAACACAAGATAGTGTTCGCCACGATTTACGCATGAACGGCGCCTCTTGCAAAATTGAAAACTTTTGAACCTTGACCGCTCTGACCATAGCGTATGCTGCGCGACTTTACATTTATGCGTAACAACTAGAAGCGTACGATTTACAATGCGCCCTCTACTTAGAACATAAGGAACAAATTAACATACTTGGTAACAAAATTTGGCGTAACGCGAACACCCTACATCAGATCAATGGCAACGACTAGGACGCCCTTTCCCAAAACTGATTACTTTCCTCTGCCAAATCGAAGCTTCTATTTGTTATGTGTAAAATCGTGTAGAACGTATCTTGTGTTTATAAGATCTTTGCTTTCTATTGCTTTCTGTGTGAACTGGATGCTTCTATTTGTTACACGAAAAACGTTATCTTGTAATATTATAAGATCTTTGGTTCTTATTCTATAAAAAAAGTGTTATTTTTAATGACTGATGTGATGTAATCGGTAGTCACTTCTTACATATATATATATATATATATATATATAGATTAAAAGACAAAATACTGAAAAACAACAATGCTGTGGGAAACAATGGGTGGATCTCGGTAGAGATACAAAAATGATAAGCAACAGCTAAAAAGTAAACGCAAGTAAACAGCCAGAAATAGAACCAGAGCTTTCGGACAACACTATAAAGTGAGAATTTCATGCAAGCATAATTAGAAACAATAAGCTAGGTGGGATTAGAATAAACAGCCTAAACAAGTAAACAGGAAGGCCAAAACTAAACTTTAGAGGCATGCCTCAATGAATAAGCCAAATGATTTATCCAGAATAATTTGGAATGCCATAGGTTTAATTTAGTGTACTGGGAGAACGTTCCTAATATTGAGTCCAAATGGTGTGGTGGTTTTATGTAAAAGTTTCCAGTGATTCTCTTTATCTTTGCGATTTTTGTCGCTCCAATTGGCATTATGGTCAATTGCAATCACTCTGAAATTTGAAATTGAATGACCAGCTAAATTGAAATGTTCGGCTACTGGTTGATCAAGCTTAAATG